CACCCTGTTGTGCTATCAAATACTAGATGTTATTAATTCTTTCTAGCAAAATGTGTGTACCTATTAACCATTATCCTTACTCCTCTCATTCTGCATACCACTTTTACCAGCTGCTGCTAACAATTCTACTCTGTATCTTCATGAGTCGAATTGTTTTAATTTTTAGTTCCCACAAATAAGTGAGAATATGAGAAGCTTGTCTTTCTGTTTCTGTGTCTGGCTTATTTCACTTAACATTTCCATCCATGTTGTTGCAAATAACTATCTCATTCTCTTTGATGGTTGAATATTGCTCCATTGTGTCTATGTACAATTTTCTTTAGCCACTTATCTGTTGATGAACACCTGCAATGCTTCCAAATCTTGGCTGTTGTGAATAATGCTGCAACATCCATGAGTGCAGGTATCTCTCTGATACACTGATTTCCTTTCTTTTGGGTATATAACCAGCAGTGGAATTCCCTGATCATATGGTAGCTCTATTTTTAGTTCTGAGGACCTCCAAACTCTTCTCCATAGTGGTTGTATTTAAATTACATTTCCACTAACAGAGTAGGAGCGTTATCTTTTCTTTACATCCTCGCAAGCACTTGTTATAAAAGCCATTTTAAGTGAGGTGAGATAATCTCTAATTGTAATTTTGATTTGCATTTCTCTGAAGATCAACAATATTGATTTTGAGTATCTTTTCATTTACCTGTTTGCCTTTTTTGTTTGTTTGTTTGTTTTTTTGAGTCAGAGTCTTGGTTTGTCACCAGGCTAGAGTGCAGTGGCGGAATCTCTGCTTACTGCAACCTCCGCCTCCCGGGTTCAAGCAATTCTCCTGCCTCAGTCTCCCAAGTAGCTGGGACTATAGGTGCGCACCACCACACCCATATAATTTTTCTTTTTTAAGTAGAGAGGGGGTTTCACCCTGTTTGCCAGGATGATTTTGATCTCTTGACCTCATGATCTACCGGCCTCAGACTCCCAAAGAGTTGGGATTACAGGTGTGAGCCACCATGCCTGGCCTGGTATGCTTTTCATAAGGAGTTTTGAAACAGGTGTCACTTTGTCACTCAGGTTGGAGTGCAGTGGCACAATCACAGCTTACTGCAGCCTTCACCTGGCAGGCTCAGGTAATTTTCACACCTAAACCTCCTAAACAGCTGAAATTACAGGCGCATGCCACCAAGCCTGTCTTATGTGTCCTCTTTGAGAAATGCCTATTCAGATATTTTGTCCATTTTAAAAATCAGATTGTTAGATGTTTTTCTTCTATGGAGTTGAGCTCTTTAAATATTCTGGTAATTAATCCCTTGTCAGATAGTTTTCAAAACCTTCGTCCACTCTGTGGGTTGTCTCTTCACTTTGTTGACTATTTCCTTTGCTGTGCACAAGCTTTCTAACTTGATGTGACCTAATGTGCCCATTTTTGCTTTGGTTGCCTGTGCTTATAAAACATTATGCAAGAAATATTTACCCAGCCCAATATCCTGGAGAATTTTCCCAATGTCTTATTTTAGTTTCATATTTGGGGTCTTAGATTTAAATCTTAAAAAAAAAATTTTTTTTTAAATAGACACACTGCATTGCCCAGGTAGTCTTGAACTCCTGAGCTAAAGCGATTCTCCCATCTTGGCCTCCCAAAGTGCTGGGATTACAGGCGTGAGCCACTGCACCCAGCTGAGATTTACATCTTTAATCTGCTTTGATTTGATTTTTGTATAAGGTGAGAAATAGAGGCCTAGTCTCGTTCTTCTGCATATAGATATCCAGTTTTCCCAGCACCACTTATTGATGAGACTGTCATTCCCGCATTGTATGTACTCAGCACCTTCGGAGAAAATGAGGTTACCGAAGATGTGTGAATCGGTTTCTGGGTTTACTACTCTGCTGCATTGCTCTATGTGTCTGTATTTAAACACAGTGCCATGCTGTTCTGGTTCCTATAGCTGTAGAGAATAATTTGAAATCAGATAATGCAATTCAACCAGGTTTGCTTGTTTTTTATTCTGAGTCTTTTGTAATTGCCTAAAAATTTTAGGATTCCCTTTTTATTTCTATTTCTGTGAAGAACGTCATTGGGTTTTGCAGACTTGTGGAGGTACGACATTGGTGGTCTGAAATCAGACCTGGAGGAATTCTCTAGATTAGTGGACAGAGACTCACTTCTTCCCTTACTTTCACACAAATGAGGTCTGCCTCCCTCTGCTAGGGTGCCTGGAGCTGGCAGAGAACAGATACAAGCACCCCTGTGGCCACGACCTCTGGGACAGCACTAGGTCTGTCCAGACGGCACTAGGTCTGAAGCCGGCACAGCACTGTGACTACACAAGGCTCACTCTAACAACTACCCAGTGCCACCTATGTCACTCAAGGCCCCTGGGCTCTACAATTAGCAGGTAGTGACGCCAGCCAAGCCTCTGTCCTTCCCTTAAGCACAGTGAGTTCCCCTGGTCCCTGGGTGAGTTCATGGTGCTGTCTGGGAGCCAGGGTAAAGTCGTAAACCTTAGACATCTACTGGCGTTCTGTTCTACCATGGCTGAGCTGGCACTGAATCCACCAGGCCTTCCCACTCTTCCCTTCCTTTTCCCCAAGCACAGTAGTCTGTCCCCACATACAACATCATTGCAGTCCCATGGGGATTAATGCCAGGTCACCACTGATGTTCACTTAACGCCCAGGGGCTCTCAGTCAGCTTGTGGTGAGTGCTGCCTGCCCTGGAACTCACTCTTCAGGGCAGTGGGCTCTCTTCTGGCTTAGGTAGGTCCAGAGACGCCATCAAAGGGCCAAGGCCTGGATCAGGGATCCTACAGCTCACTTGGTGCTCTTCTCACTGTAGTTGAGCCGGTATCTAAGCTCAAGAAAAATCCTCTTCACTCTTCCCTCAGCATTTATCAAGCAGAGGGAGTCTTTCCTCATGGCCACCACAGCTGGGAATGTGCTGGGGTGCACCAGAAGCCAACACATCTCTCAGTCTCAATCCAGGCCCATGGCATGTACTACCTGGTCACCACTGATGATTCCTCCAGGCCCAAGGGCTCTTTCATCAGAAAGTGAGGAATCCTGCCACTACTGAGTCCTTCCCTTTAAGGTAGTAGGTTCCCTCTGGCCCGGAGTTTGTCTAGAGATGTTATCCCGAAGCTGGGACCTGAAATGGAGGGGTCTTAAGACTCTGACCAGTGCCCTCTCCCGCTGTGGCTGAGCCAGTATCCGAGGTGCAAGACAAAGTCCTCTTTCCTCTCCTCAAGCGGAAGAAACAGGTCTTTGTCAGAGCTGCGAGCTGCACTGTCTAGGGATGGAGGAGGCGTGGGCAAGCACTGCCTAGCTGCCGCAGCTGCTGTCTCCCTGGGTCACCTGCCCTCAAACACACTGGCTCCAAGCGCAGCACGGCACTCGGACTTGCCTAAGAGTTGCAGTCCCTGTGACCTAGACAGACTTTCAGCTTATTAAGGACCCCAGAGTATTTTATCCCACAGCAGCCAGGCTTCCACAACTCAAGTTCAACCACAGGGATGAAGAACTCCCCTCTGGCTGGGGCTAGTCTCAATGTTTTCTCCGTGGGTGGGCATTGGGTGAGTTCAGCCTTGTTTTACTTTCTGCTATTAGAAGGCAGCACTGAGTTCAGGCAGAGCCCCACAGCTGCTGTGCTCTCCCTCCCACAAGCATGTAGCCTCTCTCCTGGTAGGAGACAGGTTCATGGTGGTCGCATCGACAACTCAAGACTGTCTTTTCTATGCTGTTCAGTGCCTCTTTCAGTGATATGAAGTTAAAACCACCTAGAATGATCACTTACCTAATTTTCAGGTCTTAGAAAGGTGCTTCTTTATTTAGATAGTTGCTAAATTTGTAATTCCTGTGGGGAGCACAATTGGCAGAGACTTCTATTCAGCCATCATGCTCCACCTCTGTGACTGCATACATTCTGAATGACAGTCTTATCTGGAGTAATACGCAAACATAAAAGCAAACAAACAAAAAAACCCCAAAACAAAAACCTCTTGCCACTGCCTGAAGATCTTGATCTTCATATGCCTCATATGCTTCAATGTCATCAAGGGGTGTTGCTTCAGATTTTCTTAAGTGTTACCCACAAAGGTATTCTCGATGTCCAGTGGACACTGAGAGCCTCTGTTGGAAATGCCTCCCTGGCTCACCCTGCCAACCGCTTCAAGACTCTTCCTTTTACAGCACTCAGGAGGCCAGAGTGGAAGAAAGACCCATGAAGCTCCTGCTTCAGTGGCATGTTGGTGCCAGCTGTGAGCAACCCCATGACTCAGCAAGATTTCTTGCACTCTCATAGGTAACTTGGGTCCCCCCACCCCCACCCCAACAAGTGCTGCTGTGGTTGCATGAGGGCCCCGGGAACCTCCTGAGTGTGACGAGCATTGGGTGACACTCAAGCAACGTTTCTTAGACCGCCCGAGGGGAACCCTGGAACTTCTAACTCATCAGCCCAGTGATGCAACACTCCTAATGGGGCACAGGGATCTGTGGCTATTCTGTATCCAAGGTTTCTATAAAACAGATCTTCAGATAAAAGCAGGGGAACACCAGCAATAGCAAATACACAATGTATGAGTCAGGGTGAAGCTATACTTCACAATGCAGAGGCCCTAGACTTGTCAATGGCCAAATAATTATTTCAAAGGCCAGACATGTGCTCCTCACAGAGACAGGAACTTGCAGACAGCTTGTAAAAAGCCATAAGGATATTTACCGTACTATTATGTTCTGGTAGTACACTGGTAAGATATTTGCCAAAAACATTCACCAGAAAAATACTTTTCCATTTATGAGATAATTACAACAGCAGTTTACCAAGACCTACCAATGAACAGTGAAAAATATGAACTGTTGCTGTAAGGCTGGGGAGAAAGAGGATGTGGTATTTATGCCCATTCTTATTATCTGCATCATGTAACCTTTAAAAATATTTCTTAAAGCGTTTAAGTTTATGGGAGCAAATAAAGTATTCAAAAATGGTTAGAAAGTTCACAAAAACCATGCAAACTCACATATCCTCAACTGTAAGGTTCTCAAAGAGCTCGCAGTAGTCCTCAAGGCATACAGCCTCTTCACTCCTAACCTTGAGGGCAAGAAGAATGGCTCCTAAGATAATCCTCTTCCAGTTGGTTGGACAAATGTCGAGATCAGCATAACGTATAAGTCTTTTAATGTATACCTGCAAAACAGAGCACTGGCCTTTGATTTAGCTCAGTGGAAGTGCTGTGATAAGAACTCTTGTGAAAAACCATCTGGTTTTGACCAGAAAGTAAATGCCTTTTATTCTTATGTCCTACAGAGATTTTGTTTCATCAGGTTAAGCAAGGGGCCATATCACAATCATAGGCCAAATATTTCTGCTACCTACCCAGCCCAGCAGGGGTAGATTAACACATCCAAGGAACAATGAATTGAGGGCAGTAGCTCTCAGTCACAACATACATCAGAATTGCCTGGGGGTACACCCTGGGACTCAGCTTAGACATACAATGGCATCCCTTCCTGCCCATCAACTGGATGGTTTTGTTACTACTCCCCATTCCAAGCCCTCCACATGCCCCAGGTGTGTGCACTGTGTGTGCATGTGTGCACTGAAGCGTGCGGGGAGAAATCAGAACTCCTTCCTGCTGCCTTTAACAGCAACTGTTCTGTAACGAGAAAAGCAATGGCAACATTTTAAGCCATAATGATGATTCCACTCAAATGTATTTGCTTTAAGTTTCTCTTAAAGTTCTGAGATAATTTCAGAAACCTACTTTCATTTAAAAACAGGACCAATACTACCCCGTTTACAAGGTCAACTTCTTTTTTTTTGAAATGGAGTCTTGCTCTGTTGCCTAGACTGGAGTACAGTGGCTTGATCACTTCAACCTCTGCCTCCTGAGTTCAAGCAATTCTCCTGCCTCAGTCTCCGGAGTAGCTGGGACTACAGGGGCATGCTACCATGCCTGGCTAATTTTTTTTATTTTTGGTAGAGACAGGGTTTAACCATGTTGGCTAGGCTGCTCTGTAAGACCAATTTCTAAAGATGCTTTATAAATAGAAAATATCTTACCAAACTAACGATTGCTAACTCAGCTCTTAGCTTTTTGGCTTTAAACAGAGTACGAACAAATCTGAAAATCACTTTGTGTCTAGGATCATACTTAAAGTGTTCCTCCGGAAGCTGTTCTCGCTGAAAGAAGAAGGATGCAATGTAAGTATCCATTGAAGAAAAAACATGAAGTGCTCTTAAGACACCAGTGTTCACATTTGTGCCCATGAATCATTTACAGTAATTTTGATTGGTGAGATGTCATTCAGTTTTTACAATATGAACAGTAAGATCTTAAAATACCGTAATGATTTAATACTCATCAACATTCATTTAAAAATCATATGAGTGAAATTTAAGAAAATGTTTGCTCTTTTTTACTCTTTGACCCACATAATTCTATCCAAAATGTAAGCTACTCTTAGGCTTTAATGTCTTACTGATCATATGTCATTCTTTTCTGCAATAAATTTGGAGAAAATATAGTTTCCTGTAATCATGAGGCTCTAAGCCTATGCTTTAAAATACAATAGTCACTAGACACATGTAGCTATTATGTACCTGAGGAAGTACATTTTTAAATTTTTATACCATATACGTTGATTTAAACTTAAATTATTTTTAACTCTCTTGATAAAATCATGCTTCTGTGTTAAAAGTATTTACATATTCTCATATTGCTTGATGCTACGGACAACTGTCTTTTAAAAGATACATTTTCTGTTATTTGGATAGTATATTTTCTATCCAAACATACTATCTTTTGGATAGTATAAAAGATACATTTTCTGTTATTTGGATAGCTACTCATACTAGCTCACTAACTAAACAGAGCTGCAGATCAGTTCTTATTCCAGCACATTCTTTTTACAACACTTAACATGACTAAACGCAACACAAAATGGGGAAGATTTAAAGACGGCTTTGACTTCAGCATGAAACAAATACAAGTCTGTGATAAAAATACAACCTCGATAAAGTGTCACTTACTGTAAACGGGTATGATCGTTCATCAAATACATCCAGAGTTTTATCCGCCCCTCTATAAAATAAGAATGTGCATTACTTTAAAAACTGTTAATATCTTAGTATAATATCTGTTTAGTATAATAATGCCTCCTATATGCTTTGGTGTCTACTTCAACACAGCAAACAGTTTTTACAGATTCTTCTCCTGGATCCTGACCTGCAGAGGGTTTCCTGACCTCTTCTTCCTCAGCACGTGTCCTGTATTGTGAAATCTTTTTCACAATAACAAGTCAGAACTGCCTATAGGTACTGACCCTCCCTAACAGGCAATGGCAATAAACCAAACATATTTTCACTCTTCTTAACCACACATTGAAACACAAGAATGTTTTACAAAGCAGCTACACAGGAGCCTGAGGTGGGCAATAAAGTCTTTAGAACTTTAATAAATGTAAATGTCAATCAGATATCCTAGCTTCCTTTCTTTTTACTCCTCTGTAGTATACTCTCATGATATATTTACTTTCTGTTGTTTGAATGAAAAACTCATCTGCCTTTTTATTTTAAAAGAGGCCAGTCTTTGATAAACTTTCAATTTTGTGAAACTAATGCATTGTGCCTGTGTGGTAAACCAGTGGTTCTCCAAATGTGCTCTGTAGATCTCTGGGGATCTCCAAGACCCTTTTCCGGAAGGCCTAAGAGGTCAACAGTTTTTTGTTTGTTTGTTTGTTTTCTGAGATAGAGTTTCACTCTTGTTGCCCAGGCTGGAGTGCAATGGTGCAATCTTGGCTTCCTGCAACCTCCGCCTCCCAGGTTCAGACGATTCTTCTGCCTCAGTCTCCCAAGTAGCTGGGATTACAGGCATTACAGATGCCTACCACCAGACCCAGCTAATTTTTGTGTTTTTAGTAGAAATGGGGTTTCACCATGCTGTCAAGGCTGGTCTTGAACTCCTGACCTCAGGTGATCCACCTGCCTGGCTTCCCAAAGTGCTGGGATTACAGGCCTGAGCCACTGTGCCTGCTGGACACTATTCTGATAATCATACTAATTGAACCTCAGAAAGCTGATTTTAAAAATTTTAAGAAATGAAGAAAGTAATACAAAGACATTGACTGTTTTTTTCATAGATACTTGCCATAACTGTATAAAAGCAAAAGTAAATAAAATTGCTGGTTTCTCAGCCTAAATCAAGATAGTGGTAAAAATTACACTGGTAGTAATTATATTCTTTATTGTCCCTTACAATTAAAAAAGATAGCCTGAAGCACTTAAGAATGTTTTTGTTGAGGCAGTAAAAATTAATGTTGTTACTAAATCTTGACATGTGTCTTTAATATTCTGAATCAGTGGAAAGTTAATAAAAAGTGCTTCTGCTGACTGTAGTATGGTTGTGTCTTTAAAAAATTCATGATTTAATTGTGAGCTGAACAATCACTTTTTTGGCAGAAATCATTTTTACTTAAAAGTACAACTGGGCCAGTGCAATGGCTCATGCCTATAAAATCCCAGCACTTTGGGAGGCCAAAGCAGGCAGATCACTTGAGCTCCTTCAGAAGTTTGAGACTAGCCTGGGCAACAAGGTGAAACTCTGTCTCTACCAAAAATACATATAAATTAGCCGGGCATGGTGCCACACATGTGGTCCCAGCTACACAGGAGCCTGAGGTGAGAGGATTGCTTGAGCTGAGATCATGCCAATGTACTACAGCCAAGTGACAGAGACTCAGTCTAAAAAAAAAGTACAACTATCATTCTCAAAAATAAAGGAAGTGAGGTTGTCACTTCAAGGAAAATAAGTATTTGTTCCCAATGATAAAATTTAAGCTTTCCTGAGGACTTTGAAAAACTCCTTCCTTCTACTGTAGGCCTGACAGCTTTTCAATACTTAAAGATGCTTTAAAATAAGACTGGAGGTTAAACTAAAAGTGATTTTTGATGTAATAAAACATAAACCACTATATTGCAAATAACTAATGCATAATATTATAAATGCAAGTATGGGGGAAGAGATCCATTTACCGTGCAAGGCAGATTAGTGAGCACTGATGGAATAAATGTATTAATATGTAAAATGCCACTGTAACTAAGAAAGTAGCACTTGTAAAGTTTTCACTTAGTATTGAAGAATACATACAACTGTCTCAAAATTTTAAAAATGCACCTTTTACCAACTACATATTTGCATGAGATTACGCCATGTTATTGCTGCTGCTGTTTCTTTTTTTGCTGTCTTCTCTTAAGTGCAACATTAGCAATTTTTAATAATATAAATACATGACACACTTTTTACTCAGTATTTTGTTGTAGAAAAGGTATTTCTTCATTAAAAAATTATATTAACAATATTGTTCTTAAGAAATATTTTCTGTTGTCACAACCTGGCTCATGGGTTACCACTGACATTAGTTGGTAGAGGATATCAGCGCTGCTAAACTTTCTGCACCGCACAGGGCGGTCCTCATAACAAAGTGTTATCTAGCTCATGATATCAACAGTGGTAGAGATGTGAAATCTAAACTAAAAATAAAGTTTGAAAAACAATCTCAATTTTATACTTCTACAATAATAAATATCAATATAATCAATAATCAATATAGACACATATTCTGAGATTCCCAATCATTTAAGAATTAAAAGAGTCTTTTTTTTTTTTTTTTTTGGCTTAGTGCCATATTAAGTTACAAATTGCTTTGAGAGCTCTGAAGAAGGAGTAATTAATTCCAGTTGGGATGAAAGCTCCAGTTTTACATGTTCAATTTACTAGTGCTTAATGTATGAATAAGGTATGAATTAAAAGAGTCTTAAGGTATGAATTAAAAGAGTCTTAAGGACCAAAGAAAACACAAATAATTTGCTTGGATATTTTAGCAGGCCCAATACAGCTCATGATGTCTACAGCTGTGACCTAAAATGCTTGATAGCTTGCAGAGTAATTAGCTGGAATAACAAGACAGGTTTTTAAAAAGCTCACCTTTGCCGGATAAGATAATATATCACCAAGGCCACACTGTGGAAGAAAAAACATTCATAACAATAGATGTTATCATTTGTTAGGCCAGAAGACATTTTATAAAAAGGGTACAGAGGAAACTCTCCTAGCGGCCCTGAAATTAAAATCTTCTGGTTCAGAACAGTACCATAAGGGCACTTTCTTGTTTTCATTTCTTGGCTTTTAGCAAAAATATGAGAACCAAATTGCAAGGCAATATGCTGTTAGAAGACATGTTTCTGTTGATGATTATATATATAAATAATAACCTATTTCCCTGTTATATTTTCTTCTATCCACAAAAGCTTTTCTCACATGCAATTTATTTTATCAGTTTATTTACTGTTTGACCTAGAGTCTTGCTCTGTTGCCCAGAGTGATCTTGGCTCACCATAACCTCCACCTGCCAGATTCAAGCAATTCTCATGCCTCAGCCTCCCAAGTAGCTGAGACTATAGGTTTGTGCGACTACACTTGGCTAATCTTTGTATTTTTAGTAGGGATGGAGTTTTGCCATGATGGTCAGGTTGGTCTCAAACTCCTGGTCTCAAGTGATCTGCCTGTCTAAGCCTCCCAAAGTGCTGGGATACAGGCTTGAGCCGTCATGCCCAGCCTCATACATTTTATATCTATGTGTACATATGTTTACATTTCAGCCACACTGTAGTGGTTTCTTTTTTAAGATTTTAGGCCTTGCATTTTAGTTCCGTTCACTAACTCCTACCCACCCATTTTTAAAATTATTCCCAAAAAATCCAAACAAAAGTGCTTTATAACAAATAAAATTACTTCAAATTGCTTTTGCATAATTATTAGAAAACATGTTAGTAAACATAAGCTCACATGACGTCAATGATAGGTAGAGCAAATCCTAAAATAAGCAGTGCTAATAAGGCAGTGTAACATGACAAAGTGTAATATAATGGCAGGTATCTTCGATTAGTTTAACTGAAATATTTACGAACAGATACAACTCTTCAGATACATGTAACTGTATTTCTAAGTTACCCACTGTTGCTGTGTATCAGAAAACAAGAGGTTTTCTTAGATAAGTTATGTGCTTCCATTTGCCCTCAGTGTCTAGAATGAGGCTCAGAATAACTGAGGGAAGGCAAATCTCATTTTAGTAATAGGTCTGTACAATATCAGCACTTGTTAAAAAGCCTGTAACATTAGCACTTAAGATGGATATATCTATAGTGCTTCAAGTAGTTTTCATCTATGAAATGGTATTAAAATCACAGAATTTGAAGATACATGCTGGAAAGGACGGAGCTTACATGACATTTAATCCAACATTCATTTTACAGGTCAGGGAAACAAATCTTAAAATTGACCTGCCCAAGGTCCCACCAGATAGGAGCAGTTTCTTGTCCTAAACTAAATTAGGCAGTGGCTGTCAAATTTTGCTGCACATTAAAATCACCTGAAAAGCTTTAATAACTGACTCATTTTCAACATGAGACATTTTGATTTAATTAACATTGGATATAACTTTGGGTATCAGGGTTGTTGCTAAAAGTTTCCCAGGTGATTTCAATGTGCAGCAAAATTTGAAATGATGGAGTTGGGGTAAAAATCAGAATCTTCTGGGATGCTTTTCTTCACATAAAGATGCTATGTTTTCCCAAAAGTCTTCTCAGTGCCTGAAGATAGAGGGAAAGTGGAGATTGGAGGATACATGTATTTGCAGACATGTATTTTGAAGAAAAACTTTGCAAAAATGATCCCAATGAGTTCCATGTATCCCATTGATAACAGTGCAATACTAACTTTTGATGAACATTTTTCAAAATCTTTTCTTGAAGCCAATTTGCCCTATTAATTTGCTCAGTAAACCTCTATTTCACCAGTAGTGAATACACCAAATGATCATTTCTCAAACTTGCTGATGGCAAATTAAAACTTACTTTACTTTCAAAAGTAGACTTCTAAAAATTAGAATAATGAGGAAAAAACATGAAATTTGTTTAAGCAAGATTAATTTTCAAAGCTGCTTTTAAATTGTATGCTAACACATCAAAATATTTTGAATTCAAAAGCAGCCAGGGACTCTAGCCAAAGTAGTTTGTTTGTTTTTGTGCTCAAAGATTTAAGACACAGCCAGGTACACTGGCTCACACCTGTAATCACAGAACTTTCAGAGGCGGAGGCAGGCGGACCACCTGAGGTCAAGAGTTCACATGAAGAAACCTCATCTCTACTAAAAAAAAAAAAAAAAAAAAATATACAGAATCAGCTGGGCATGGCGGTGCATGCCTGTAATCTAGCTACTTGTGAGGCTGAGGCAGAAGAATTGCTTAAACCTGGGAGGTGGAGGCTGCAGTGAGCCAAGATGGTGCCATTCCACTCCAGTCTGGGCAAAAGGACAAGAGTGAAACTCTGTCACAAAAAAAAAAGAAAAAAAGAAAAGAAAAAGAGTAAAGACTGAAGAGACTTGGCTGAGTACAGACATTTAGTGATTATTCAATAGGTCCTGAAGCTCAGCACCTGAGACAGAGTTTGATTCCAGTTTTTGCTGAAACATAATTTCATCTCAACTATTGTTATAAGGGAGGGAGAAAAGTGACATTATTATAAGTGTAAACTTACCATTTTTAATTAAAGTAAAACTTACTGACAACAGAATCAGCTAAAAAGGCTAGGGCATTCAAAACAAAATTGTTGATAAGCTAGCGAGTTATGTTTCTAGAATGAAAAGTAAAACTAACGAAAAAGACATTAATATTCTAAATGAGCACTTTCTGAACTGTGCTCCAAAAATCAACTCATAACCCAACGAGATGATAATAATGTACACTCCACAGCCCCTATGGTGGTGGTGGTGGTTGTTCCTTTTAAAATAAACTTCATCTCAGCGTGCTCTCAAAGTGCATCTTTGTGGCCCATGCGGTGCTCATGCACAATGGAAGAAATTCAAATGCAGATACACTGTGGTGCCAGAGGAGAAAAAGCTGTTCCTTCTTCTAAGACTAAATCCAAAGTAGTACACATTGACTTAGGCCTGCAACACACTGAAAAATTAATTTTTCACAAAAAACATTCAACACAGGGAACCTATCCTTCTCACTGCGTTCAACATTGTCTTAAGGCAAAACGGCATCAAATAAACGCTACACTTTTTCTAAAATGGCTTATTTGCTAACAGATTTTTCTTTCCATCATGACATGTAAGATGAAGAGAGAAACTGAGACTTAATATTTAGAATCTGGTATCAATATATAGTTGACTCCAAGTTCTTAAACTGATTGGAGAGGACAAAATGGCTGAAATAATTTTAGTCTGTCCCTTAGCAGTACAGTTGTACTCACGATTTTAGCGTCATTGTAAAATGAGGGCGGCTGGCTGTGCTGTCATCGAGGAATATAGTTGAGCACGAACTACATTTTTGAATAAAATGCTCAGTAAATACCTGAAGAGGAAGGGAAGGAGAGGTAAACTTATCAAAGTATATATATTTTTTTCTCAGTTAAAATGTCAAATGACAAAGCACTAAGATATTTCTTACACTCCATGAACTGCCTGAGTGTGGTGTCATGTGCACTCTACAGAAAAACCATGGGAGGCTCTTAACTTCCAGAGATGATACTGAGATATGGGTTATAAAATGCTGCTCTAAATATGGTACCTGTCATCAAACCTAACACGGATTTTATGAATTCCCTTTATAAATGATGACAAAAGTTTAAAATAAAATGTCATCATTTTTGTTTCTACCATGCTATAAAGCAGCTAAGAATTTCTATTATTTATTTACTACGATAAAATGTAATGTATTAAATAATACTGGTACAAGAGAAGTTTATTGCAATGTATACAAAACTAATGTATTTACTAAGTTACTAATCCTAAATGTATTATTTCAGGTGATATTGTGACAAAACAGGTGTTTCAGATTCAGAGGTTGTGTGCCAGTGTTGCTAGGCCACCACCAAGTGAGGAAGCCATAGGTTTCTCTAGTCCTGTTTCTTTATGTGGAGAATAAAAAGATTATCACTTAAATATTCTCTCACACCCTGAAAACAGAGGACAACTTATAAAATGTAACTGCCACTTCATGTTTAAATAAGACTGCCATGACATGACTCAAATGAAACTCTCAGAGAATATTTGCCATTCATTTCAAAAGTTGATTAGTTTCATTCTATAAATCATCTGACCTGCACCTAGGCATTTTCCTGCTATAGCTCCGCTCTCTGCCTAGAATACTGTTTTTCTCTCTCCTTGTTTCAGCAAGCTTGGCTCCATCTACTCTCTTGGATCTCCTTGCCAGCAGCCATACCAAAACATGTTTTTTTGTACACTAATGAATCAAATTCACCATTGGTTACAAGATACTAATTCTTGCAGCGTATTCCCCTCATGAGGAAGTATGCCTAGCCACAAGAGTAAGAGAGGGCCCTAACTGTTCCTACATCCAGCTGCTGAGCATAGAATTATGCTCATAAAGGAACAAAAACTTCAACAAGTGTTTAATAAATTAATTCAGTTATAATTTGGAAAAGAAGTCTTAATACATTTAATTACACCAAAAACAGTACTAACAGTTTACTGTTTGTAGGTATTATTTAAGGTAGTCACAAAATAGAAACAAATCATCCAATTTCAGTCAGCATAAATCAAGAGTATGAAATTTTACCATCTTTAACAAGAAATGGAAGGGTTTAATAACAAAAACATAGCAGTTTAATAACAAATATAAAAATAAAAATAAAAAAATAGCAGTTTAATAACAAAAACTAGAAAATAATTATATCTAGTAATTTAGTAAGTCAAAACCAAAAGGCTTACCATCAAAGGTCCAGTACCCATTGGATGCTGATTGCCCACCCACTGACTTCTTCTACTGTACCTACTGCCTTTCCATTAAAAATACTAAAACCCATTAAAAATACTAAAGTTGTTTTTCTTATAGAGGTCTTTCACCTCCTTGGTTAGGTCTATTCCTAAGTATTTTATTTTATTTTTGCAACTATTATAAAAGGGGCTGAGTTCTTGGTTTAATTCTCAGTGTGGTCACTGTTAGGGCATAACAGAGTTACTGACTTGTATACTTGCTAAATTCATTTATCAGTTTCTAGGAGCTTTTTGGTGGGGTCTTTAGGGTTTTCTAAGTACATAATCATATCATCGGCAAAGAGTAACGGTTTGACCTCCTATTTACTGATCTGGATGCCCTTTATTTCTCTCTCTCGTGTGCTCTGGCTAGGTCTTCCAGTACTACGCTGAACAGAAGTGGTGGCCTAGGCATCCTTGTCTTGTTCCAGTTTTCAAGGGGAATTCTTTCAACTTTTCCCTCTTCAGTATTATGTTGGCCGTGGGTGTGTCATAGATGGCTTTTATTACACTAAGGTATGACACTTGTATGCCAATTTTGCTGAGGATCTTAACCATAAAAGGATGCTGGATTTTTGTCAAATGCTTTTTCTGTGTCTATTGAGATGATCATGTGATTTTTGTTTTGAATTCTCTGTTCATGTAGTGTATCACATTTATGGACCTGTGTATGTTAAATCATCCCTGGATCACTGGTATGAAACCCATTTCATCATCATGGATTATATTTTTGATATGCTGTTGGGAATGACAAACCATTGATGAATGAAATGATGGACACAAACGAATGGAAAGGCATGTGCTGCTCATAAATAGGTAGTATGAATATTGTAAAAATGACCATATTGCCAAAAGCAATCTACAAATTCAATAAAATTCCCATCAAAATACCATCAACCTTCTTCACAGAACCAAAAAAATTTTAAAAATTTTTTAAAAATTTAAAAAAAGAAATCCTAAAACTCATATGGGACCAAACAAGGCTCCACATAGCCAGAACAAAATTAAGCAAAACAACAAATCTGGAGGCATCAATCACACTCCCTAATTTCACACTATACTATAAAGCCAGAGTCACCAAAACAGCATGGAACTGGTATAAAAACAGGCACATAGACCAATGGAACAGAACAAAGAACCCAGAAATAAACCCAAATATCTATAGCCAAATGATCTTCAACAAAGCCAACTAACACATAAAGTAAAGAAAGTAAACCCTATTCAACAAATGATGCTGGGATAATTGGCAAGCTACATGCAGGAGAGTGAAACTGGATCCTCAACTACCACCTTACACAAAAATCAACTCAAGATGGATCAAGCACATAAATCTATGCCTGAAACTACAAAAATTCTAGAAGACAACATTGGAAAAACCCTTCTAGACACAGGCTTAGGCGAAGACTTCATGAGCAAGAACCCAAAAGGAAATGCAAGAAAAACAAACAGGTAAGACTTAATTGAAGAGTTTCTGTACAGAAAAAGAAACAATCAGCAGAGTAAACAGACAACCCACAGAGTGGGAGAAAGTTTACACGCTTCATAATATCTGACAAAGAGCTATTATACAGAATCTACAAGGAACTCAAACAAATTACAATTTACAAATTACAATTACAAAAATATGGAACCAGCCCAAATGCCCATCAGTCAATGAGTGGATAAAGAAACTGTGATATACATAAGTGTGTGTGTGTGTGTATGTGTGTGTGCGTGTGTGTGTGTGTAAAATGGAATACCATTCAACTATAATAAGGAGTAAATTAATGGCATTCCCAGCAACCTGGATGGAGTTGGAGACTATTATTCTAAGTGAAGTAACTCGGACATGGAAAACTAAACGTTCTATGTTCTCATTCACACATGGGAGCTAAGCTATGGGGATGCAAAGGCGTAAGAATGATACAGTGGACTTGGGGACTTTGGGGAAAGTCTGAAAAAACAGTGAAAGATAAAAGACTATAAATCAGGTTTAGTGGACACTGCTCAGGTTACGGGTGCACCAAAATCTCACAAATCATCACTAAAGAACTTACTCATGAAACCAGATACCACCTGGTCCCCCCAGAACCTATGGAAATAAAAAATAAATAAACTACAGCATTCTTCTCAGCAAACATAAATTAAATAAAATAAAAACTGAAGTTTATGTTTTCCCTCTCCTTTTTGGCAGGACAAATTTTAGGTATATTTTTAAATAGCATTTTTTTTTCTTTATTCTGAGAAAAGGGTCTCACTTTGCTGCCCAGGCTGGAGGGCAGTGGTGCAATTATGGTTAACCACAGCCTCAAACTCCTGAGCTCAAGCAATCCTCTACCTCAGCTGGCTTAGTAGGTAAACTAAAGGCATATGCCACCATGCCTGGCTAATTTGTTATTTCACCTTTTTGTAGAGATGAGGTCTTGCTATGTTGACCAGGCTGGAAATAAATCTTAATTAACTTAAGTATTTCTAACACCGTGAGCATTCACGAAAACAGCTCCATCTACGTTGTGATGTAATAGGATATGGCAGTGTATAAAGTTTGAATGAAAGTATTAAACAAGGCCTTAGAAAACAACTGTAATATGCTTATTATAGACACATCACTAAAAAACTGTCTGGGTTAATATCATTAATGATATTGAAATTAAACTTTGATTTACACTTAAATATAGGTCCTAAATTTGGATTAAATACAATAGATGGATCACAAATTTATGTCCTCTCTCTGGAAATCTCATTAGTCAGAAAATAAAGGTTACACACAGGACCACGAGAGAAGGTTGACAGAGATAATTTTTAATAAATGCTGAGACTTAAAAAGTAGATAAAGGAGTCATAAATAACACAGAAGCACAACTCTGGTGCCTACAGAAAGTGACTGGAGACTAGACAAGGCGGCTCACACCTATAATCCTACCACTTTGGCAGACCGAGGTGGGTGGGTCACGAGGTCAGGAGTTCAAGACCAGCCTGGCAAAGATGGTGAAACACTATCTCTACTAAAAATACAAAATTCAGCCGGGTGTGGTGGCAGGTACCTGCAATCCCAGCTACTCAGGAAGCTGAGGCAGAGAACTGCTTGAACCTGGGAGGATGAGGTTGCAGTGCACTGAGATCTCACCACTGCAGTCCAGCCCAGGCGACAAACCAAGACTCTGTCTCAAAAAAAAGAGAAAGAGACTGGAACAGAAGCAAACAGTTTGTCTTGCAGAACTAAAGGTGGGCTG